TAAACACGATAACTTTTGAAAATATCAATTGTTTAACTCAATCTATTTTTTAATCTCTTCATCTATCATGTGGGAAGCCACTGAATGTAAATGGCTTCCCACATGATAGATGAAGTTTTTATGTCAGATGAAGTCACATAGATGAAGTATTTCATTTAAGTGTAGAAAACCGGAGACTCTTTTTACTGCAAAAGAGGCATTCCAACTTAGTCCTCACGGGTGACAACGCATCTACATATTGATTCGCAAACGAGGATAAATGTATATGTATATGGGTCACAACAACCATTTGCTATCAGGTGTACTGTGTACTCGTTTGTCACCCTATTTCTATAAAAAAAAAATATGGAGGAGATGCTATTTACAGCAGCGGATTTTTAAAGGGCTGTAATTATGATGATGGACACCATACTATAAAAATTCAGCTATTATGTAGAAACCCACATGTAACATGTGTATTAAATCTTAAAAAGTAATCTGGAAAATATCCCGATTAACCAATGAAACCCCATATCACATTAAATCACTTAAGCTGTGTTCCGATACACTATGTATTCATTAAATATTCCTTAACCTTTATCCGGGATAAAAGTCGTATATTTTCTGCGGAAGCCCTGCGATTAAGTAATAATAAACTACATACTTTTGGTAAAAATTGGAGATTGTTGTTTAAAAAAGCACATGTTCGTCTTGTGACTAAGCAATTTAAGGGTGTGGCGATTCTGTTCCTTAATGGAAAAAACACACAACTCACACACACGCACGTCGTAACTGATTTTGTATGCTTAATTATTCGCAAACGTAACACTCATCTGGGAACTACGTACTAGCACAGAAGAAGTGACATTGGTCACATATAAAAAACTTTTTCAATTAATTGAAGATATAGGGCTAAACTGTGAACATCAGCGATAGCAGCGATCACAATATGTCTTACTTGGTCGCAGTGAAAAAACAGAAAAATATTTCATAATTAGAAAAAATTAAAAATCGAAAATCAACGAATCCGACAAATTTCGACACACTGCCACGACTTAATTTTGAGAAATGTTTTGTTTTTAAAAGAATTTTGTTGTTAAATTTAATGAAAAGGAAACTTGCCGCAGTTAACAGACTTCATGTACTGCGATGGCTTAGAAAAGTTTTGCGTAAAATTGTTCCGCAGTTATTTCTGATTAAGCGAACTTTTCTATTCGCCGTTATTCATCCCGATGACGAAAACGTGGTATTATGTAAGAACAATCTAAATTAACTGGTTTTAAATTTGCAAATGCAGGAACTAAACGGTTGATTCCAGAATATCTAGTCAAATATTCGATTTTTTTTAATACTACAGGTTTTCTTTAACAAAACCTTTAAAGTTTTATCTTATGCGATATTTTAATTACAAGCGTTATATAAGCTTGACCTGTCTTTATAAAGACGAATGTAATGGAATTTTGTATTTCAGTTTTCACCATCTTCCTGACGTTTGATTAATCTATAATTTAGTCAACGTTTTAAAAACTGATAACAATACAATACTTTTATGTCTATATCCAAGTACTCTCACTAGAATCATCATAGTACGTGATCAAATCATGTAGTTTTAGTTTCTATTCTCTTAAATTACGTTATTTAATACATTTCTAAGGTCCATCATGACAATTTTTTGCAGTGTGATAATATATTATGAGCTTTCTTACCACTATCGTAAGAGGAGATTTACATTTAAAAAACTGTTTCATCCATAAAGATGATAGATAAGGATATGAATAGAACCATCTTGTATTTATATACAATACCGAAAGCGGTGACGAGAGGAACCGTCAAACGTCAAAGCCATGGGACTAATTAGCCAGTCAAGAAAAGGACCCGTATTTAAGGCATAATACATCCTACTAATTGAGAGGCCCCAGTTCATTTGTAGACTATTTATGAGCTGATAATGCGAAGAGTATCCAGTGTTATTAGATACTTACTTTACGTGTATATACTATATTATATACCTGTGAAAAATAATAGCAAAAGAGGCATGTCTACATGTAGCTACTTTCTTTAGTTTTGCAATTATTGTTGTTTAACCAATAGTTTTGAAGTATTACTAAATTTTGTTTGAAACTTTACGATATTTGCGAAGTGAAGCCACATTGAGCTCGATTATTCTTTAAAAAAAGGCAAAAGTTTCAAAAAGCCGGTTCTCAAATAAAGAAAACTCCTAAAATACTTTTTCATGGGTCGTAATAACACAGGTGAGTAAAACGAGTTAGAAATTTGTTTAAATTCTCAATTTCAAGTTTTTTTTTTAGGATATGTTGTTCATTTAATCTGAGAAATGAGGCTCTCCCTCCCACACGTTTGACGTTTCAATTTTCGTCGATCTGATGATATTATATCTGATATAAATAATAAATGGTTATACCACAAACCATCGGAAGCTGTAAGATGTAAGAATTTTCCCTAATGTAACCCACGGGATAAGGTAGAGTTTCCTTATATGCCATTACCATTATAGCGTATCAAGTCTACTGCCCCACATAGGCACCTTTCATAGAATATTTCATAACTGAAATGTTTGTCATAGTTGTCAGGCCCGGCAAGCGAGTTGGCAACCGTAGTGGTTTTACAAGCTTTTATTTAACTTGCAACGTTTTTGTAACGTTTGTTCTGGTCAAATGTTGCAACTGAATTTTAAAGCAGTTATCGTTTAACGGATTGAGCTGAAATGTTTATTATTTTGCGTTATTATCAGAAAAATGCTGCTGCACATATCAGGTTTCATTTCTCTTTGTAGCCTCTTACGACGTTACGTGTATTTTCGTATTACACCACCCCATGTCATCCCGTGAATGACACATTCTCCTCAATAGAGAATAAAATTAAGCTAATAATATCAGTGTATTTTATTCGAGTGCCAGTATATTCAGTATTCAGAAATCTTCAATTGTAAGTTGAAGTTTCTAAAGGAACCATATCCGCGACTGCTCATCGCCGCTTGCGAAAAGAGGGTTGTTTGTTCACTTACCTAAGTGTTAAGTATAGCCACTCGACGAAGAAACACAGCCATTGCCTCGTACTTGGTAATATGCCTCGGAGAGTAATGCGTTATAATTTGGTTTTATGATGTGTAACATCTTTTCTCTTGCTTTCCTGCTATCTGTGGGCGTGATTTCGTGAAAAGGGACGGAAGTGTATCCCAGGAAGCTGGGGAAGCGCGCGCTATTTAATTTGACCAATAAACGAGCGCTGTGGTAGTAAAGTGTGCTGTTATTTAAACTAGTGTTAACTATATTAAAAAATGTTATTCCTGTTGATAATAAGTGTCTGAGAATTGTGCCGATCAATGATAAAATGCAAGTATTCATAATTATTCGAATAAATATTTCAGTATTTAACTTTTATAAATTTTGAGGTCAATTTCTGTTGCTGCTTGCTCAATTAATATTTTTAATTTTGATTAATAAAAAAAACAAATAGCTGTTTTCAGGATATAATGTTAATGTGTCTTATTACCAAGGTCAGATTTCAGATATTACACATCATATGCGACATTTTCTTAAGGTTGTAAACGTTATTTATGTGATGTAAATAAATTATTAAGGATTAAGGTAATTTAACGTCTTATATGACTTGAGAGAATCTATCATAAAACATGACAACTGAAACTGAGCCTTTTCCTTTATTTTTCGTTCAACAAAAGAAAACCAAAATATTACAATTTAATTTTTGACCTTGAAATATAATTTACCTACCTTTTTATGTTTTATACCTTTTAAATCTATGTACGAAAGTCCTCTTAGAATTTCATTATGGTATAGATTTATATTGTAACAATCCCTAACAATACCAAAATCAGGTAATTATTTGCTCGATTACAGTTCGGTAATTTGTTGTTTCTCAGGTGACAGCGATCACATAAAAATTTTAACGCGAAGAAACTGTATCCGATCCCTGCCAGCACTAATGATTTAATTCAAGTTCTATGCACGGCTCTAAATGTTAACATCATAAGTAAGCTGTCTGCGAATTTCAGGATATAAAACATTTCGAAGACGAACACACATTGGGGAAGAGTTGCGGACTTCTATCGTCACATATTAAGGTTTTGTGCAGTAGTGAGACATAATCGAGTATGTATAGGCTGTTACTTTATTCTATTGCGTATAACGCATGAATACGAGTACGTTTAATAACGTTTTTATAACTTTTTCGAAACGCCTTCTGTATAGATTTTAGACATACTTATAAATTAACAAGCTTAATGGTAAAAATAGTAATTAAAAAAACCCGACTGCGTGAAAAAGTTAACTGAAAAATGAAAATTCAATACCCTATGTCACTTCCACTAAGACGAATCTAATGATATGTATATATTTTAGAATCTATCAAGTTGTTTGGGCTACAGAGCATGCCAAAACAAAAGACATACCTACATACATACACTCGAAAACACTACCCACATTCTGAGGCAGTCGGATGAAAATACGTTTTCCATTTAGCAAAGCTGGTGACTAAATCATAAAAGCGAAATTATTGTCCACAAATTGTAATTCAAAAACTGAATAATCTCGAAAATATTAATAAATAGTTCATCGAGTGTTCCCGCTAAAGTGAATCAATCTTCGACTGTTGAAAATTAAATGTTTGAATTTCATTAGAACAGCTACGCTTGTTTAGTTATGTCGTATCCGTACGTTTATTTTCGTGTTCTGCTTTGTTTGCTTATCATTACCTAACTTTACTTCTCACCGTTAAAGGTCTTCAAAATATTAAACTAAATATTCTTACTAGCAGCATAACATTAACATCCACATTACAAAACAGTTGCTAGTTTTCCAGTTCACTTTGTCATTCCGTCCGATTATAATCTGTTGGGATTTTAAAGGTATGTACGTTTCTACTGCAATAGTACTGATAGCAGTACAACTGAATACTATCCGTATGAATTGCAGTAGTTGTGGAGTGAAATTTTGCTATTACTTGGGCTTCTGCATTTAGTTCGGCCGTTTTCATTTACCAATATGAACGAAACTTTGAAAGCGCGCTCGCTCTTCAATTGCTATTTAGTGGATGAAATGGAACTCAGTCACCAGTACGATCCGATGTGGAGAAACAACGCGATGAGTTGCAAGGTTATCTTAATACTTCAGCAGATGTTTCATTTCAAGTAAGTAAAAACTTTTATCGTAAAAATCGAATACATTGTCGTTAAAAGTTATAGGATTTTTTTATTTGTATTTTATTAAAGAATATAAAAAAATATTAAATATATTTTATACTTTCTCTTTATGTATTTTAATGGGTCAAAAATATCCTAATTTGAGATTATTCAAACCTTTATAAATTCATAACTCCGAAAATATTAAATTTTTTGTAAAAAGTCTTATAGGAACTTTTTATATGTATTTCATCAAAAAATATACCAAAAAATTTTCGTTTCAAAATAACAATTCCTTTATTTTGAAAAAAAAACGGTTTAAACAATAAGTACGCCACCGAGTTGCCCACGCATGGCAACATGCATTTATATCATCAGTAGAACAATTTGAAGAGAATCGCATAAAAAAATTGAGGTGGATTAGTTTTCGGTACTCATGCGCCGATTCCTTCTGGATTAGTTGCAGGGATGATGTTCCTTAATCGTTACGCTAGGCACATGGATTGTCAAGCGACATAAATGAGTGTCAGACGACTCGCACTTTTGACGCTTATCTTATTTTATGTCTAGCATAATAAACAACTATATGAGGCGAATAAACGACGTAGTTAAACTGCCATCTATTGGAAACTGTAAGATATTTCTGGCACTTCATAATACAATACTCACAGGACAAAATGGTATATTTTTCTTACACACTCACCACACGGTACTATTTGCAATGTGTGTGCATAATATACAACCAATCAAAGCCCCGCAGTTTTTTATTTCCAAGTCGTTATGAGGAAGACACTGCTGCCAATCTCGTGGTTCGTTTCTCTTTGATGTCTCTTACGACACCCAAGAGGATTACGGATTTTATTTAATGTTCAGGTCTTAAATAACGTTAATGCCTTTCAGTATTTCCTTCATTACTACGGAATTGGACACCAGTGTGGCAAACAACAAGGAAAATATTATTTATTTGGGTCATAATGATACCTTCGATTTATGCGTTCATCCGTCGCCTATCACACCTGATACGTTAAATGACTTCAATCCTGTGGAAGCGATGTTCGTTTGGAGGTAGTATAATTGTTTAAACTAAATCCAATAAAGAGATTTATGTGGTGACTATGGGCGATCGACAACTGCTGGGGGAAGAGTTTCTCTAACGTTCTCTTCGGCGAAGTGTCGGGGGGCGTCCACTAGATGGAGTGACGACAAAAGAAATCGCTGAATGCTAGAGTCGATGTTACCTATGTTTAGCAATGGACTTGTGATAATGATGATGATTTTAGGTGATCAGTGTAATTTTCGTATAATTTTAGATGTTAATTACTATAATTATATCATTAAATTGCTATTTTAGTTTTTCTTGTTTGCGTGCTAAATATCTTGACCATATGCAGCAAATAGTCAACTCTATAAACAGTTTAGTTATCTGGTATCAATGCGACTAAAGTTTAATTCACGTAGTTTTAGTAGATATCCTGATTTATATTTGCACCTACATCACAAACATACATACACATGCACGCACGCTCGCACGTAGAGACACACGCACATACGTACGTTCACGGAGGTGTTAAGCACATGCCCTTAATAATTTTTATATTATTTTGGTAATATTATTATTATTGTAAAGAGATCTGTTGTGGTCAACTTTAATATTAGAATATTAACAACTTATTCACTTTTTATTATTTCAGATTCGGCTATATTCTTCGGCGCAAATACAATGCAGTTATGCGTCCTTATTACAGTCTACCATTTTCGAAAACTGTATGGTGTTGCGTTTGTTCCATGGTTATTTTGGCAACTTTAATTTTTTATGTAACTAGAAGATGGGAGAGAAGTATTGTCGGTCATTTAAAATGCAGTTTTATTTACGAATTTTATGCCGCTATAGGCATAATCTGTCAGCATAGTAAGTATTACATCGATGCGTAAATTTGTTTTAGAAATATTTAGAAATGCATGAATTAAATTTAACCATTATGTTACGAATTAAATTTTAACATTATATTATATATCTTACAGCTAAAAACTTAAGTGTGGGTACACCTTGGTTTAGCCGGCTACTATTAGGTGTAACCGATTTTAGAGACAATGTAATAATAACGTAGACAATAATGTAGACATTAATTTAAGCCTAAATTTTATTTTTATCTAAATGTATGCGAATTTCCTCCGGCACTATTCAACCTACGAGACTATCGCAGTTATTATAAGATTCTTGCTTTCATATTTATGATATGGCTAAACGTGAATGGGCAAAGCGACATACGACTTTCGTATAATTATTAGCAAAGTCAGCATGAATTATACTTATTATAATTACGTAAAATACCGTGACAAATAAGAGAAAAAGCGCTCGCCTTAAAATGTCTTAGCATGGGAACAACTTGTGTGTTTATACGCTATGTTTGTGTAAAATGGCGTGCGATGTCTTCAATGTAAGCTACGTGTATATTTTACATTCATTAAACGGGCGAGGTGCACTTGTTTACTCTATGTTAGATAAAATCCCGTGGGTATCGTAAGAGACGACAGAGGGAAACAAATCAGGAGATGGGCGGCTTCATAATTACGACTAAAATTAAAAAAAATACTGCGGTTGGTTGCTCACCCACTTCCCAAGCGTGGCAACTATGGCAAATATCCCCCTATGAGGCAATCTATGGGGAGGCCTGTGTTCAGCAGTGGATTTTAATAAGCTGTAACGGTAGAGTCATTGAATAGAATGTTTTTGTATCTACAGGCTGTTTAAAAACCGTACGTACTACATTTTACTCTTTCTGTTGAGCCTTGTTTAGGTTTACCGACATCATCCATTCTCTGGTCACGTCGAATGGCGTACTTTTTCTTTGTTGGTTTCGCCTACGTGACTCATTCATTTTATACATCCAACTTACTGTCGCACATCGTAACCGATAAAAACGGCCAAATGGATCTAAAATCTTTGATCGAGAGTGACTATGAACTAAACATAGTTGAAAATATGAAAATATTTGCAGAGAAAAGAGTGAGTAATAAAGTCGCATTATCAAACATTTCTGTTCATTTCACTTTTATGTATAACAAACATGGACATGATTAATAATTATAATAGAAAACATATTTATTTATAGGCAAATACTTTTGAAAAGAAAATGAATTCGATTGAAGAAAAGCTATCACGTACCAAAGTAATTAATATATTTGACGGGTTGGAGGCAGTCAGAACCACAAAAACTGCGTTACTATGTGATTATCCTGGAGCATATTCTATCATTGCAAGAAATTAGTAACTAGCTTCAAAGATTTTCGTAAGTTATTTCTCTATTTTATTAATTATGACGGAAAGATTATCAGAGAACAAAAATGCCATCCTCTTCGCTTGACCGACGTTGTAATATAGATAATTTGACATATATTTTTATACTATTGAGCGTGATAAGCCAGCACACAGTCCACGCAATGGTAGGTGGATGATGTGGCCTAAAGATACCTTAAATCTATCCTCTAACAAGAATCAAAATACAGATGCGTTGATACCTCTGAAAAAGGAGTCTTCTGTACTCTTCTCTATAAAACTCAGCAGCACAGGATTCTGTGCGAGCGTGGTATTTCCCCAGCATGGTTCTACCGCGTAAAAATTTCATATTTCGGGATTTTTTAAAATTTAAATATTAATTTATTACTATATTTTTTTTTTCAGCCTTCGAAAATGAAGAAATTTGTGAAGTGAAAGAAGTAGATGTCTTTTCTAATGTTAAGATGTATTTCTTCGCTGCAAAGAAATTTCGTTATATAGAGAAGTTAAAGATTGGGTTAGTATATTTTCTGTCAAATCGGATTGATAGAGTGAAGATCTATATTGAGTTTTGGAAGTGGTAAGAGAATATATCACTCCATTTAGTCGCCATAGTAAGATTTCGTTCTATCGTTATTACAGGAAATGTCTGAAATATCTTATGAAATCTGACAGATGGCTGATAATCATCTCATTTACTATAAGAAGTAAAATACCCTGACCTTCGACTGCCAGCAGCTTCAAAGTTGCGAGATGTTTGGCACTACGATCGTCAATCCTATTGCCTAGTGTGGCAATTAAGAAAAATTCTTCGTACAACAGGAGTTCCATATCTGGAATTTTTCGGGCCAATGAAGAAATTCATATCTCAAAGAGTAAAAAATATAATATTAAATGATATCCTCAGTCCAAGTTTGTACGCTCTTTTTTATAGGATATGACAAACGAGCACACAGTCCACCTGATGGTAAGTGGTTGTTGTGATACATAGACATCCACATCTATCCACGATTACGAATCAAAATGCAGATGCGTTGTCACCCTTGAGGACTAATATGGAATGCCTCTTTTCCAGTAAAAAGTGTCTCCGGTTCTCTACACTCATCATAAAACACAACAGTGTTAAGCTGCTATTTTACGCTGGTATTCTGTGAGAGTGTGGTCCTTCCCAGATCGAGCCGACCCATTCGTGCTTCAACTATACTACTAATAATATAGCTGTAGCATGGCTCTACCACGTTTAAGCATGACTCTAACACGTTCTTTTTCTGTCTAGAGGTCCATCTTGGTATGGAAGATAATAAGGGTCTTCTGTGTATGATGTTTGGTCGCAACTGTCCATGCGCTGAAGTAGTCTCTTACTGACGTGTCTGTTAGCTCTTTAGTATATTAAATGATATTTCATGACAGAAAAAAAATATTCTCAATAGCTGCCCGAAGCCTGTAATTTGGCGGTGTTTCATTTACCCTCATGCCTCTGAAAGTACGTTAAGCTGTAGATAGAGGGTGCACCTGTACTTGCGCATACACTAGGGCACTATAATCATTCCTGCACAGGTGGCTAATTCCTGTTGAGACTGCCTGCCGTGGCCTAAAATCGATCTGGAAGACATTATTTTTTTATATTAAAAAAAATATTCTGAGCTTTCATAATAACTTAAACCAATTCATACTATGAATTAAATTAAAACTTTATTTTAAACCAAAACTGTTAACTTACTGTATGAATAAAGTTTTAATTTAATTCATGATATAACTTGCGTTTACGTTTTAGGAAAGTTAAAAGTAACTTTTTACGCAAAATAATTAAAACCAAACTTAAATTGTCGGCAAAATAATTAGTAATGATGATTGATTTTAAAAATAGCAAGATGTAAAATATTATGAGTACCGTAAATTTATGTAAACTCAGATTAAAATTTATAACTATGGTACAGTTTTTCAATCAACAGATAACAGTTATTTATAGCATAAAATGCAACATAAGCAATTTAAAATTACAGCTGCATGAATAAAAGAGTTCAATTGTTTGGTTTTTATATTTAGTCAGGTTATAAATTAGTTAAAACATAACTTTTAACTGATGATTGAAAAATTTGTTCCTAGACAGATAAATGTAGTAAAGATGTAAGTTCGTTTCTTTTTTTTATAATATTTTTTAGTTTATTAGTTTTCTTAGGTACGTTTTTATATCTCAAACAAGTCTTTTGGTTATTTTCCAGAACTCTACGCATGAAAGAATCTGGTATCATGAAACGCATAATAGTTATGAATGACTATACTCCATTGAGCTGCACCATTAATGCTTTCCACAGAAATACACAATTCGATCACATTCTTAGTCCCTTAATTATAATGTTGGGTTCATATGTTTTGGTCTGCATAATTCTAGTAGCAGAAAGAATAAATAATGAACGAAATAAAGTATGGCCTTATACTGAATAAGTTAATGTACATGATATTGACGATAATAGACGATTGATGATAAAGTGTTCCAGGTGAATTTCGATATATTTGATGCAATGTAATTAAAATGGACATGAAATGACACTCTTGAAAACTAAACTAGTTTAATGATTTCTTTTGGAATTCAGCAATTAAATGTTTCAATTTAATCTTTATTTATTGTGTTATTTTCTTTCATTATCATTATAGCTTATCAAAAGTCTATTGGTGAATATAGTTTGCGTCTTAGGAAGATTTAATTGTATTTTTTAACTCTATTCAAAGTATAACTGGTGTAGGCGTAACAGTTTATCAGTTAATGCTGATAAAACTTTTATATAATACCCTTTACCAAAAAGAAACAGCTGGACAAATTAGTTACACCGAAGCACAATGGTATAGAAGTACCATTCCCAACTGTAGTTAAGTATTGGGACGTAACAATCGACCAAAACCTAACATGGAACTCTCACCTTAGCAACGTATGCAATAAGGTAAAATTTGCTTTAGGTACGTGCAGTCGTATTTTTGGAAACAACTGGGGCTTGCGTTTCAGTTTGATACTATGGCTGTAAAGCAGCATAGTGGGGCCAATGGTTACCTACGCCTCCATTGTTTGGTGTAATAATGCCAACCAAAAGATGACAGCGGACAGGCTAAAGTAGTCTACAAAGAATACATAATCTCTTTAAAGGTAACTGGTTCGATGCGATCATCAACTAGAGCGGCTATTAATGCACTTCTCATAGAAGTAGACATACCTAACGCCCCTTTATCTTTATTTAGACAAGGAGGCGAGGGCTAGTTTGTATAGGATTAACGGCCAGGGCGATCTGTTTTCCTACAGACTAAGATCCCTGCTCGACTCAATGAATGTTGCATGATCTCAGCGTCCACTATAGGCTTTAAATAAGAAGTACATAGTGGAGCTATCCTCAACAGAATACTGGCTGGTACTGGAATGGACGTGTTATTTGTGACGTTGGTAGCCTTATATTGTATAGGGATGGGTCAAAACTAGACATCGACTTAGGCTTTGAAATTTATGGGGAACGCCCCAAATTCAAGCTTAGTATGAATTTGGACATATTCACCTCTATCTTCCAGGCAGAATTTTCGCCACACTTTACTGTGCGGAAATCAACCTGCACAAATACCACGGCAACCATATTGTCTATATAAACTCTGATAGTCAAGCAGTACTGCTAGCGCTGATATCAAACTTAAACTTTACTCCGACGCTAGTTGGAGACTGTGTGAACCGTCTAAACAGTGTAACAAGAGGATCGTTTTGAGACGGGTCCTGTCCTGCGAGCATCGTAGGCAATGCACTTGATGACAAGCTTGCACGGGAGGGCTCAAAGTGTACACAATTTGAACCCGAGCTTTTTGTGGAATCTTAAAAAGCCTGGCCCGATTGACCCTTGAAACTTCTTATCATAATAAATTACTTAAGGTCTGATCTGATACATCATGCTTTAGAACATTCTAAAACCTTAATCCGGGCTTGTGATCGTAAATTCGCTTCATACGCTCTGTGATTAAGTAAGCATAAATTGCGCATTCTGGCAAGAGCCCTGACTAGACACTGTAGTCTAAAAAAACACATGTCTATCCTGGGGCTAAGTAACCAAGGATGTGCCGATTCTGTTCCTTAACGGAAGAAACACCTCTACATATTCTGATTGTGGACTTTTAATGTGCAAACGTAACACTTATCTGTGAAACTATGTGCATAGCCCAGAAAAAGTGAAATTATTCACAGCTAAGAAACTCCTTCAATTCATTGAAGACATAGGGCTTAGCAGTGAACTAAAGACTTAGCAACAATCACAATAGATCTTATAGGGTGTAGTGATACTGCTATTTCTAGACCTGCATAGATGCTTGCATAAATCGCCAATAAACTGCCCTGCAGTTTGGCGAAAGTAGTGTAAGAAATAACCGAATGTATTTTTGTATATATAAAGAAACAAACGAGCACATAATCCACCTGATGGTAAAGGGATGCTGTAGCATACATATTATATCCACGATTAAGAATCAAAATGCAGATGCGTTCTCTACCCTGAAGACTAAGATGGAATGGCTCGTATCTATTTAAAAGGGTCTTCTTTCAGCATCGAGCTGCTATTTTATGCCAGTATTTTGTGAGAGCGTGGTTCTTCCCCGATCGAGCCAACCCGTTCGTGCTACAACTATAATATAGTTGCACCATGGCCCTGCCTCGAGAAAATCTATCTATGCATAATTGTTTGTATCCAACTGCAGAAAGTGTAATTTTCGTAATTTGTCATGGTTAAGACGAGATATCTTTTTTCCTCTCGTTCAAGGTGGCAAACATCTGGCTCTTCCCGTTCCTGGTCTGCTTAAATTGGTTCCAGTTTCTAGAACTGTTAGCAAACCAACCTGTTAGCAATCATCAAGTTTTATGATGCTAGCAATATTTTACCTGACTTACAATCGGGTTTTAGAAAAGGTAGAAGCACGTCTACTGCTTTACTTGACGTGGTTGACAATATTTTTACATCTCAAGACTTTGGTAGA